TTCGGACTTTTTCTGACTATTTCTGGGAGATAAGGAACGCGCATATTATTGAAAATGAGTTTAAATCACAAAATTTTAACAATTGGCGTAAATTTGGTAGAAGTGCTTTTAGCGAAGCTGAAAGATAAAATAAGAGTAAAAAAGTAAAAAAGTATCTATACAGAACAGTGTTGGCATTTTTGGTACAATTGTACTTGTTTGATACAATTTCATTTACAATATACTTTCCTACTACGCAGTACTTTTTAGTAAAATTTTGTAATGAATACTAAAAATATATAGCTCTGAAAATTCACAGCAAGAAATTTTTTGTATTCTCTTCTGTTCGCTTGTTCGTATTTACCTTTGTAAGTTTTGAAAAATGGCTTGAACGAACCAGTATAATATAGCCTAGGAAAATTTTTAAAGAAACTTTTCGATACTAAGTTTTGTTAAAACAAAATGTCGAAGTCAGCTTCATATAGAAACTAAGTCTTCGTTAGTTATAAGAGATTTTCTGAAATATAATACCTTTACGGCAGTCACATATTGACAAGATTTTACTATTAATTTTATTCCTCTTTAATTTTAATTATCTGTTTATAAAATATAATGTATTCTTTAAGAAAAGCTGTATAAAGCCCAAGATTAAATCTTTGTGAAACATCCAAAAACCAACATACTTTCGTAAAAATTTCGAGCTTTATTAATATTCTTTAGTTTTTAGCCCATTCAATTTTAGTATAATAAATTGGAAGTTTAAAGTAGCTGGGACTTACCGTTGAACTTGGCAATTTTTTTTATCGACGATGTCAGCCATTTTCTTCCATACGAAGTGTGTTCGACGATTTTTTATATGGGGAAAATTAGCAACACCTTCATCAAAGAAATCTTAAAAAACTTAGTTATATTAAAATTTAATGGGCTAAAAACCGCACACTCAAAATAAAATGTTGCACAAAGTTTGAACCTTGGATTTGTACGGCTTTTCTTAAAATATAAACCGTATTTTTACAAAAAATAATTAAAATTGAATAATATTAAGATAAATGGTCAAATCTTGTCGTAAAGTTTTGATAAGTACTTGAAATGCTATCAAAATGTGAAATTTTAGTACTGAATCCAAATAAAATGTCTCTTTTATCCATTAATAATAACTTAAATATGCTTTTTGTTAAGATGTATACCTGAAAATGTGTGCATACATATTTGCGTTAAATACAGCACGTGTGCAAGTGGAATCAATTTGTAAAAGTGTAAAATACGTAAACGTATGTACATAAACAATAAAACTTTCTCATGAATACCATAACAACATTGGTCTTAAAGAGAATGTTCTAAGAAAATATATGAGCGAATTAAAGTGTATACAATTTATAGCCGAAAAGTACATTTTTGATGTGTATACATCTTTGGTTTCGGTAGGGGTAAAATTTGCGAAGCTGTAACGCATATCCCGGGACAAAATTTGGAAGGGCTTAGCATGTGTATTTCAGCATAAAATTTTTATTTTCATTAGAAGCACCCTGTGTTTGCTTGCCACATGGTTGCATACATTTAGGCATATGCATAGTAAGAGGAAATGCGCTACAATTGATCATTACTTCCGATTATTTAAACTCCACACATGCATTTTGATATTCGTAGATGGTGTTAGGCATAGGTTTAGTAGTCTACTTTGATAAAAAAGAAAGGCGAAAATTAAAAAAAATACTGAAATTATTTTAACTGGGACCGTTGATAACTGATGAACATACATGAATATATGTATGTATAATATGCATATGTATGGATGATATAATAGCTCTGATCCAATACTTTTCGTGTAAAATCCTGGAAAAAGGTCAAACAACAAAATCATTCTCTGAAGTGAGAGTAAAAAGTGAGTAACAGCAAAACGTACGGAACAAAAAAGCATCGGGTAAAATCCTGCAACATGAACTGCATTTACATGAACCGCAGATTATATTCCGAAGAGAAAAACTAGATTTGGGAATATATACAAATAGAAATGCTCAAACTATAAGCGCAAAAACAATAACTGATGCGGTGTTTCCAAGATATTTTAACGCCCTTGAGTCACAAGTATATACAAGTATATTTTATCAATCATACCGATAATTTCATGTATTAAAAGAATTAAAAATGAAAATGAATGAAAAATTAAATCAGCAAAATGAATAAAATTAAGTGAAATTAATGTTTAATTTCTTACCTAACCTACATTTGTATGTATGTAACTGAATCGCCTAATAATAGCTTTACATATAAAAAGATTATACTAATTTTCGAACACCCTAATCTGTTATTAGAAAAAGAGATTAGCCATGCAAAATTTTGATTAAAAATATCTCGGATTAAACCGACAACTTTTTGGTGTCCAACCTAGTTTTATCGATTATACTTGCGTAGAAGAGGAGGAATGTCAAATGTTAAAGTAAACAAAAATTGACGCTAGTAAGGAAAATAGGTTTGTAAAGGTATTTTTAATAAAATATTCAGTTAAAATATATTGAAATGGCATAATATGTGTTGCAGAAATAAGTGACCACGGTGGCACAGAGAAGAAGTTTAACTTTTCCTCGAGTTGTGTGAATAACAAGCACAACCAATTTGACAGCTAACGAGCTTTGATTGAGATTATATGTAAACGTACTTTTATGCTTTGCCGTTCGCATATGTTTACACATCAAATTTCATGAGTACCTAATACTCACGCCTTTTTTGTATAGATTTCGTACCGAAGGAACAATTTCATTTCCCAACACTGATACAGAATGTAAACAAATACAGGGTTGCAAGGAAAAAAGTTGAACGAGCTCAAAGTTGGCTGGCGACCAACTTTGTCGAAAGCGATTAGTTGAAAGGCCGTTCGGACGAGGCGATTTTTGCTTCCAACTAAAAGTTGCCTGAAAAATCGCCTTGTGCCCTATATACTTACCGTAATTATCTCTGTCGATCCCCATATTTGTTTGAGAATCGTGCTATTCTTCCTTTTTTTTGAACTCTAGAACATCCACGACGTACACGAGCGAGAATTTAATGCTCTTGCACACAACAGATTACGTTTTATAAAACGTATATATTTTTTTGGAATCCGGCAACTCAGGATTTTGTTGTTGAAAACAATGGCTATACCACTGACATGGTGCATATTGGTTGATATTTATCCTGCATCGTCGGTTCTTAAAGCTGGTTTCAATTGTTTGCGAGAAATGTGCATGGAATTTTGCATATAAACAGAGGAGGAAACATTAGCCACTTTCCTGTGCGTATTTTTATTTGATTGTGATTCTCTTTAAAAGCTGTAGTTAAAAATCGTGGATATTGATGTTCCTTTTTGGTAAGAAGCTATTGTTATGTTTGTAATTGAATATTTTAAGGAAACTGAAAAGTTACTAAAATATTTGTTTTTAATATAACTTACCGAGTTTGAAATATGTGTATTTACTGGTCGTTGATTTTTCGGCATATGCCGGCATATGCAAGCCTACATATGTATATTTAAAATTTTTAGATATACTTACATACTTGTGTGTGTGAAATTTACTTAATGGATAGTGTATAGGAAACAAACTTTATTATTAAATGAGGTCTGGATATATTAGGTATAACTACTACTTATCCAGAGTACACCCAATCCACATACAGTCATGGACAAGGTTCCAGCTTTACACCATGCTAAGATAGAAACCAGGCACCAAATGGGGTGGCTTTAGTATGCAGCTGCACAATTTGTTTTAGGAAACGATGTGGAATTAACCAATGAAACTTGTGGAGGATGATTAGCCAATGTATACTAAAAATATCAAAAAAATAATTGTTTATAAATTATTTGCTGTTTGAAGTTTGTTCAATCGTCCCATTGATATCCTTACAATGCATTTGCCACATATTTATACCTTTCATGAGCATGAAATGGTATTATAACTTTGGTCCGATGTTTGTAAGTACCAGAACAAAAAGAGATAGACCCATTAAAGTGTATACTTATATGATCAGAATGTCGAGCTGAGTTGATTTATCCATGTCCGTCTGTCCGTCTGTTTGTATGCAATCTAGTCTCTCAGTTTTCGAGATATCCGGATCAAATTTGGTACGTGGGTGTATTTTTATAATGTATTAATCATTTGTCGGAACCGGAAGAATCGGACCACTATAACATATAGGTCCCATACAACTGATTGTTCAGATATGAGATTTTTCGTTATAACTTCTCCATTTATGCAGCTACGAACATGAAATTTTGCAGCACTTGCACCCATTATCAACAGAATGCTTACAGTGAAAATTACAAAGATCGGTTCACTATAACCTATAGCTCCCATACAACTGATTGTTCAGATATAAAATTTTTCATTAAAACTCCTCCATTTATATAGCTGGGAACAGGAAATTCCGCTCTTTTTTCAATAATTATCAACAGAAAACTTACAGTGAAAATTAAAAAGATCGGATAACTATAACCTATAGCTCCCATACAACTGATTGTTCAGATATGAGGTTTTTCGTTATAATTCATCCATTTATGTAGCTAGGACCATGAAATTTCGCGCTGTTTTCACTCATCAGCAGAAGACTTACAGTAAAAATAACGAAGATCGGGTCACTATAACCTGCAGCCCCCATACAACTGATTGTTCAGATATGAGGTCTTTTATCATATCTCCTCCATTTATGCAGCTAGGAACATGAAATTTCGCACCATTTTCACTCATTATTAACAGAATACTTACAGTGAAAAT